AAAACCCTTGGGGGCCCCCCGCCCTCCCCCCCCCCCCCTTTTCCCAAAAACCCTAATTTTTTTTTCCCCCCCCCCCCCCCCCCCCCCCCAGCTACATCCCCCGCTGCGGCTCCCCCGCCTCCTCTCTCCATGACGCATCTGCGCCACGGCCGCCCGCACCGCATCCATGGCTGGGGCCTCGTTAAGGCCCCGGGCGCGCGCTTCGCCCAGCGCCGCTACATGCGCCTCATCCACTACACCCTGACCGTATTCGACGGCCCGGATGAGGACACGGACCTCGTTCTCTGCGAGCAGATTCTCGTCGGCGCCCAGGTCTCCTCCGTCAACCGCCGCCGCGAGATCGTCATCCGCTTCCCCAACGACCGCCTCACCGTCCAGCTGCGCACGGAGAAGGAGTACCAGGCCTGGGACCGCGCCTTCCGCGACGGCTCCCGCGTCGCCGACAACTACTACAAGCTCGTCCCGTCGCGCAAGCTCGGCGCCGGAGCCTTCTCCTCCGTCTTCTTCGGCTTCGATAGCGACGACGGCGATCACGTCGCCATCAAGGTCGTCGATAAGACGAGATGCTCGCGCGCAGAGCTCGTCTTTGCAGAGTCCGAGGCTCGCATGATGGCCTATGTGCGCCACCCTTTCATCGTTCAATGTCGCGACATTTTTGACGCCCCGCACGCCATGCACGTCGTCATGGAGTACATGTCCGGCTCCACCTTGGAGCAGCGCATGCTTGCGAGACCCCCCGCCGAGAGACCCTTCTCGGAAACCATTGCTGCCACCGTCATGGCACGTATTCTTTCCTCTCTCGCCTATCTCGAGGCCGAGCGCATCTGCCATCGCGACGTCAAGCCGGAGAATATCCTCCTGTCTACAACGCAGAACGACGATTTATGGCCTACGTCGGCGAGGTTATCTGATTTTGGCCTTGCCGCCTTTATCGACACCGATTTCGATCTCACCGATATTGTCGGCACACCAAACTATGTCGCCCCCGAAGTCATTTCGAGGGACGAACTTAACAACGAACGCGTTGGCTATGGATCTCCAGTCGATGCATGGGCCGTGGGAATTCTCTTGTTTTGGATGTTGACGGGCGGCAAGCTTCCTTTTGATGGACCAGATTCGGGCGCCATCTTCAAGGCGGTGAGAGCTGCCGAACTCGACCTGGAGGTCGCTCCATGGCCATCTATATCATCCGGAGCCAAATCTCTTTTGAAGGGGCTACTCCACCCTAATCCGAGGATACGTTTGCGCTCAACTGCCGCGCGTATGCACCCATGGCTGTTGTGCGCCCAGGAAGTGCATTCTGCCACACACCACGCGCACGCCTATACAAATAGCCACCAGCGTGGCATGGTTCTCGGTGTAAAAAAACGGGTGCGAGCGGCGGTACGGGCAATCATGGCTTACAACCTATTTTTGCAGTTGGTGAACAAACAGGTGATAAGGGAGCAGGAGACGGTTCGAAGCGAGCGCCTGCGCAAGCACGGGATCGCGAAAAAGGCTAGCCTTGGTGAGAAGATGCAGCGGGCGCCGGAGCGGGCGCCGGCTGGTGCGGATGGACTCGGGTACAACGTCGGGTTGTTCCCGAGCTTTGTACCGAAACGGCGGGCACGGGCTGGGCCTTTGTCGAGTAGCCAGAAGAAGGAGAGCAACGTGAGCTCTGGCTTCTCCACGACGGGGTCGGACCACAGTAGATCGTTGCCCACGAGGGTGAGCGGGGAGAGTGGAAGCAGTGCCGGGAGCTTGACACGAGGCGGGGAGAAGCAAGTGAGCATAGATCGATCGTCTGTGGGATCGAAGTCATCGACAAAATCGGGCTCGTGGGGGTTCAAACTGAGGGGGCGAGGTACGGACAAGGGCTCGTGAAGAGAGAGAGAGCAATGTATGGCAGTGTGGGGCGCGTTTTGCCAGTGTCTATCCGGAAATGAAAAGAGGCCTCATGCTGGGCAAGGGGGTGTGTGTGTGTGTGCGTGTGTGTGCATTGTTGGTTGCGGGACGGTTGGGTGTGGGATGTTGAAATGTGCACTGGGTTTATGGCAGTGAAGGTGGATTTTGTCGGAAGGTTGTGTTTCGTGTGTGGACAAGAAAGCGGTGCTCTCGGTTTGTATAGTGCGATTGCAAAGCTGCGGAGCGCGGACGACAAAGAGTGTGTGTTTTAATATTCGGTCCTTTGTGTTGATTTGTGTGCGGAGCGTTGGTGTGCGGGGGGGGGGGGGTGGTGCGGTAGACATTGCTGGGAGAGGAAGAAATGCCCCCTGCGATATGTTTGGGG